AGCCTTTTCTCCTCGAATTAACAGAAAAGTACTTCAAGAGGCCAAGGAGCATAAACGTCTCAAACTTCCTTACTTCTCATTCCAACTGGAACTGATCAGTGTTTTTAAAAGCAGACCGGAAGCTGAACCGGATAGTTTGGGTCACGGTTCAATATGGTTGACCAGATCAAACTTGGTTCAATATACTTTTTTATAAATTTAAAAGTAATATTAGGATATATGATACATAATTAATATAAAATGAACTGAAAACATTAAAAAATTTAAATATGCAATAATTTTATGTTTATATAGATAGTTTATATATTTTGATAATTTTGGTGGTTTTTATCAATTTATTAAATTTGAGATCTAAATCGGTTATGTGAACAGTTTATGGTCAAACCAGTTTTTAGACCTAACCCAGCTATGTAACCGGTTTATGGTTGAACCCAGTCCACCATCAGATCGGTCCGGTTTTAAACAATGTGTCACCATATGGTTAGGCCTAAACTAACGGGTAATCAGCATGGCACATATATGTCAAAGTATTTAGGCTCGATTTAACCCATTTGTCATGGTATTTGCATTCTCGGATTTATTCTTCTTCCTTAATGTATTCCTCCTCGGGTATGGTATAAATTTTCAGTTGACCAAAATACTTGAAGGGGTCTTCCCGTGGGAATGTGTCAGCCATTCGTTTTCTGCAGTCTTTCAGCCAAGCATCGTCTCCAAAGCCATTATCATGCATGTTTAGAAGATCATTCAGGAGTTTCATCGCATGACTTGCTTGCCGCTTTAAGATCTCTGTCTGGAATGAGACAAATAGATAGATATAAGGATTCACTTTCAACTCAAGTAGCTGGAGGGAGACGCTAATTCCAAGATAAGAGTTTCATGACACAAAAAAACGATCACAAAAGAGCAGGACAGCTTCCAAGTTTAAAGAGCTTAAGATCTTGTTGACAAAAACAGAAACACATACCTCGACTCTTGTATACAAGAGATCAAGACTTCTTATAGCGTCCTGAATGACACAATACAAGACCACAGAATCACACATGTCTGATTAGGCAAAATGACGCAGAAAGGAATATGACAAGGAACATATATATTATTACATCACGGCGAGCAAGGTCAAGGCGGTACCAAATGATCATGAGAACAAGCTCTCGTCCAGTTCTCCCCTTTCTCAGCTGCTTCTTCAATTCTCTATACAAAATTATCCAATAATCAATCAGACTTAAAACTAACTTTCTTCTTCTTTTTTTCTTTAAAACTATTTTATTTACCTCTTGCAAATGAAGCTATTTGGATTAATTTGTGAGTGTTTTGTTACTACATGGAAGTTTCGACCCTAATTGGATTTTGCTTAATTCGTTATCATATTTTGTATCTGCTGCCTCTTTGATCTCTGCCATTTTCGTCTTTGCGAGGTCGACAAAGAAAATGGGGAACGAGTGTTTTCAAAACACACCCAATGTGACGCCGTTTCTTCTAACGCGCTCATTTTTTTTTATCAAAGCGAAAACAAATCCCAAAATCAAAAGGGGATCACCTACAAAAATGAGTTCACGCGCGCTCTAATGCGAGTGGGCTATCGTAGAAACACAGACACTCTCATGGAATTCGAAGCTTACAACGTCTCCAGGCGGCTGCGGTTGCTTTCGGGGAAACACTTCCCATACCGGAGATTGTAGCGATCGGTGGCCAATCAGACGGCAAGAGCTCACTTCTGGAAGCGCTCCTAGGGTTTCGGTTCAACGTCCAGGACGTGGAGATGGGGACGCGCCGTCCTCTGATTCTCCAGATGGTGCATGATGTTTCAGCATTAGAGCCAAGGTGTAGATTTCAGGTAAGGGATCTCTCTCTCTCCCTCACTATATATATATACATATAGATAGTTGTGTTCCGTCGTCATATTATAGGAGTTTATTGGTGTGCAAAAGTTGTTCAAAAAAAAGTTTGCTAGAAATCTACTTTATTAAAACAAAGTCTTATTTTTATCTACCATGAAAGTTGTCATTTAACTTCTGGATTTATTCATAGTTCTACCATTTAATATACATAATATATTTAATATTGACTTAATTACTTAATCTACTAATAGTATAGGATATTAATTGGTTTAAGTATCTGTATTGTTACCATATTTTGTGGAAAATTGTCAACTATTTAGATAAAGACTTAAGAAATAAAGAGATTATATACAAATAGTTTATTACAGATAATTTTAATTTACCATATTTAAAATTATTTGAATAAATGCAAATAGCAAAGGAAAGTTAGTTGTACTTGATTCACCATATGCACAAATGACATTTTAATATAAATAATTAAATTAAATTTTTTATAACAAATTATCAGATTGAATTTGAAATAAAATTATAATTTCTTAAGTCAAAAGACAATATAATTGTTCAACGATGATTCTTTAAAATCTTTTTACCACAAGATTATTAATATATTTCCACAAAATGTGAATGCTCTCAAGAAACCATTGGGAAACCACCCCTCCATCTATTTATTTTAAGGGTAAACTATTTAAAAGGAATAATTTTGTTGGAAATGTTATGATAAGGTTTTCACCAGTAAAATTTTAAACATGAAAACTGTATTTCATCATGTTTAAAGACACTATACTGATGTTGGAAAGGTTGTGATAAGGTTATTTGTTTGCTTTCCATGTACCTATATGTCCTGAAAGTATGTTAATTGAATGAGCCCGAGACTTGAATCAAATAACCAAGATGGAAACAACAAAAACAACCTTCTACATATAGGAATCGAAGAAGACAGAGACAATTTGTCTCATACAAAGTGATGAAGTGATCGAGAAGAAGACTGAAAAGATGATGATGGAGGAGGAATCTGTAGTCATTGCGGTACTGGAGAAAGCTCGAAACTTTCTTGGGGATATTGGAATCGAAACAAATCGGAGCGACGATGATGGAGGAGGAAGACAGAGGAACCAGGAAGAAGAAGGAATGAAGAGATCGTGACACGTGTTTCCTAAGAGACATGACTTCACTCTCTTAATTAAGGGACTTGTTTAGGTTAATGTTATTTTTTTAAAAAAAATCTTAAATAACCTAAGCAACCTTATTAAAAGCCACCTATAAACGTGCTTTTATCCCTCCGCGGGTCAGGAGACACATGTGCGGGATTTTGTATCCTCCCCCTTGATGGCGGAAGCTTTAGCTATGAGGGAGGCTATTTGGTCAGCTCAGCGTCACTGTTTTACCAACGTCTGGTTTCGCACCGACTCTCAGGAGCTCGCAAGAACTATAAACTCGAAGTCATATTCGGTGGAGCTTTTCGGAGTTCTCATGGATATCGAGTATCTATCATCGTTCTTTGTTTCTTTCTTTGTCTCTTTTGTTAGCCGGGATCACAATGTTATTGCTGACTCCCTGGCGAAGTCTGCACTGTTTGTTTCTGCTTCTACTTCTACCTTGTACTGACTCCTCACCGTTTAGATCTATCAATCAGTTTGTTGCTCAAAAAAAAATATCCCTCCGCGGGTCAATTTTTGTATTTAGTTTCTTATAAACTTTTTTACTTCTATTTCTATGCATCAAAAAGCTTTAACCTTAATTTAGGCTTAATTTTTTTTCTTTGGATCAGAAATAATAATACATAATAAACTATAACGTACTATGGATCACATAGCGCTAAAACATGCATCATCTTTATAACCGATTGAACTACTAATATGTAGATATATTTCCTTCTATTGAAAAACACTACGCTCCCGATGGCGATTCAGAAGGAGATCTTGAAGATCTCGAAGGATTTTTAATATTCGATGTTTTACCGTTTATTTGTCTGGGATTTTGATATCGGTGATTATGGTTCTCTTGGGGATTTGGTTTTAAGAGGAGATTCTTGGTTTTTCGACTGGATCTCTATAGATCGAGTGGATATGTTGGAGATGATGGTCAATTATGGAGATCTGATGGTGCTTTTTTTTCTGGAATCTGTGGTTTCGATGAAGCTACCATGTCACAAGGACAATGGATCTCTAAGTCAGGGGGGGAAGAAAGGTGTGGAGACCAAGCCGGTGCTACGAGTTACAGTCTCTCGTTTTGATAATCTATCCTGGTTTAGTTTTCTAGCCGTGAATGATTTTCACATAATTATAAGCATTGATAACATTGTTATGGTTTGGTGGTGTATCTTTGTTGTGTTCAATGATGACCAGGAACTAAATGTCATTTTCGTGAGGATTTTTATAGAAACAACAAGGTGCTCATTGCAGGTTCACACGGAACAGGAGTTTGTAAGGTCTGAAATGGATAAATACTTATTAGAACTATGGACAATCGTTTTCAGGAAGGCATTTTTTACCGTGTATGTGCCTCTTGGTCGATATTTCTTCTTCATAGAATTGGACAAGACATGGTGGTCTTTATTTTCCATGCTTTGGTGGTGGGACACGATGGCGTTATGTTTCAAGTATTGTC